TCTGTCCTCTCTGGGCCCTAAAAGAAAACCCCCACAAAAAAAAAAAAAAAAAAAAAAAGGAAAAGAAGAAGCTATACTCTATCCAGTCACACCATCCAGACCAGGGCCAGGCAGTTCTAAGCATTATGATATAAAGTAGATTTGGATTCTGGGTTAATACCCATTCTAACAACTGTCACAGAATTTGCTTGGCCCCACTGTGCAAGTTTCTACAAGTCCCAAAGTTGCAAAGGCAAAGGAGAATTATCTTCAAGGAACCAAAAAGATACCATCTTCAAAATAGAGAGTGGCAGTGAGAGTCCATAGCAGAGCTGATGTTCGTATCAAACCTGTGCTCCTTAGCCCAAGCCAGTTTCCTATTAGTTCTTAGGAATGACAGAGCAAATGCTATTCACAATCCTTGAATTTCTGTCTTTGCTGGATGCAAGTTGGGTGCATGAAATACAATACAATTGTATTCCTTCTGAGCACAAAAAGAGCGTGACATTTCAAAGTACGATGAAGAGTTCCGTAAATATGACTGACTTGGAAAATCACTTCGAAAGGAATACAATTGTATTCCTTAAATGGGAAATGAATTTGCTGGATGCAAGTTGGGTGCATGAAATACAATACAATTGTATTCCTTAAATGGGAAATGAATCCAATTTTAGAAAAACTCTTTCAAGATAGCTTTTCTTGTACTTTACCTCTTACTGAGAACCTTAGAAATGTTGCAATACAGTTAATCTTTGCTTACATCTGCTTAGGTTTACTTGTTAGTTTAATTAATTTCATCATGTTTTAAGGGTTAGCTTGTCACTTGGCTTAAACATAATTCCCTACCTGAGGCACCAAAGAATGCTTAGATTTTAAGTTTGGTAGGATGGGGAGTTCTTTCCTCCATCACTCAATCTCTTTTACATCTTCAGCACTGCCAAAAACTTCAGCTGGATGCTTTTGGCCATTAACAGCAAAAGACTGCCTTTGTCCAAGTGACCTCACTTAACTCCAAAAGAAATAAATACCCTTAAATTTTACCTTCCCTACTCAGGAGGCTATTCCATTCCACTTATTACACTTATTCAAGTTAATGTAGGGAGCAAAATTTGGGGAAAATAACTGGACTTTCTAATCTCAATGTAAAAGGTTTGTCTAGTTCACAACTCAAGCCCTTTAATTAATAAATCTTGTTCCGTAGTCACTTTTCTTTTACCAGGTTAGATATTCAACTCTATTTATTTCAGCACGCATGACATCTCTAAGCTATAGGATTCACCAGTAAAGTCATCATAATGAGAATTTCTGGTGATTGGATTTCTCTGTTACTCTGGGGGAATAACGTCTTTATGTCCTTCTATTCTGGCTTGGAGATGAATTTAGTCTCTCATTTTAAAAAAAATTCTCTTTCTACAAGGGTCAGCCTCCATGGCCACCTGATATGTCAGCATTTCTTTGGAATCCTTTTTAGGCTTCTAGCTCAAACTGGTTCCAAGCCTATTTTAGAGAATTGGACCTTTGTTTGTATATGAAGAAAATAAAATAGACTTTATTTTAAAGTAAACACACTGGAGCCATTTTCTGAATGAGTGGAAGAATATATTACTTTCATTTGGAAGATTTCTTTCTGGAGTTATTCTGTTAGAGAACAGTCTTTGGGCTACTTTGGAAGAAAGAGATTGAATAAAGGCACAAACTAAATTTTTTTTCTAGAAGGCATGTGCAAAGGGCAGAGAGAGAGAGACAAAGAACGGGACATGAGAAAGCACTTCCTTTGGGACCAGCAGTTAGCGTAATGGCTATGTTGCTGAACTCCCATGTAGTTGACCGTAGTTCGAGTCCCAGACCCGGTGGCTTAAAAATCACACAGGGCATGTGTGCGTGCATGCCCAAGATCCCGAGAGGAGAATGGAGGAGAAGGGATTGCAGCATGGCCATTCCCCCTGGGGGGTGATTTCTCACTTTCTGTCTTTCAGTCTCTGTCTTTCTGGCAAGAGCACACGCCCTATAGCCAAAACCTCTCCAAAAAATGAAAGAAAAAAAAAAAGAAAAGAAAAAAAAAAGAAAGCACTTCCTTTGAGGGATGGTCATGCTGCAATCCCTTCTCTTCCTTTCTCCCTCCTTTCCAGATTATGGACACACACGTACATGAGCTTGGTGTGTTTCTCCATCCACTGGGTCCAGGACTCAAACCACACATGGAATCCTGAAGCTTTAGCCACCAGGCCACAGGACTGGCTTGTAATAGGGATTCTTGACTGTCCTCTGGCGACTAGAGGTGAGGGAGGTATTAAGGACATCAAGAAATGAGAAGATGGGACACTGTAGACTCAAGCAGTCTGAGCTCAAAGGAAAACATGGCCCCTAATGGAGTCCCCTGGATCTGGCTTGTCTAGGAGCCTCAAGAATAGCAAAGTCTGTCATCCATTTTTATTGATTGATTGATTGATTGTGCTATTGTCCCTTCATCCTGTGATAACAGAAACTTTTGTGTAGAACTGCCTCAGAAAATAGAGAGGGGAGGTTACATGTAACTGGGGCACAGATGAAAGGAGAGAGCAGCTGGCAGGATGCTGACAAAACATGACTAGGGACCTGGGGCAAGGCCATGGAGAGGGATTCTGAGGACAGCTGATGACAGCAACTAGGAGAACATGCACATCTCGATCCCAGGATCCTCAGGTAGGACATGGTGATCTTCCCAAAGCTCCAAGACTTGGGGAGGTAGCTGGTCTGTGGCGTGCACCCAGACCAGTGGAAGATGCAGAGCTACAGATTATGCATACTATACAAAGTTCTACTTTCTTCTCCATAAAGTAAGTATTGTACTTTCTAATAATATTTATGTGGGAAATACGCATTGCTCTGCTCTTTATTGAAGAGATTATTACCTTCAATCTAAAGCAAACCGGTCCAAGGGATTTGGTATTCTCTGCCAAAAGAACCTTGATATATTTTACATCTTAAAGTGATACCATTCTAGTTTGTTCTGTTGCTAATAACGGAAAATACCTGGGTAATTTCTAAAAATACAGGTTTATTGGGCCAGCCAGTGGTGTGGTGGTTGAGGGAGTTGGATCCTACATAACTCACTACATGTTAAATTAAACTATTTTGGCCTAAGACTGCCGCTGTACTCCCACACTTTAATTCCTGTGGATAAGCTGAAATCCTACATGTTAGGCTGTTTTTCTGAGCTGGTTGCTAAGTTACAGCGAATCCCAGCAGCTAGGCCTCAGTCAATCACAGGCATCCCGCCTTTTAAATCGTGTTTATGCAGACAAACTTCAGAATGTAACCAATATTTTATCTACCTCACTCTCTCACGTACATTTTGTGTACTCTTTCCTGTTAGGCTGACTTAAAAGGCTGAGTTAATCATGAGGCTGGCCGGAGCTGTCTGGAAGTCTGGGGACAACTGCTCAATTTAAATCATGTTAAGATTTGCTCTATTAAAACTCTATTAAATTGACTGGTTTATTCTTCTTTTAACAGGGTTGTGAGTCCCAGACCTGGCAACTTAAACAAACACATGTGTGTGCATGTGGGATCCAAATCCCAAGAAGAGAAGGAATAGAAGAGATTGTGGCATAGCCAACCCCCATAGGGAGTGCTTTCTTACTTTCTCTCTCTCTCTCTCTCTCTCTGGTAAATGCACACACACCATTACAAAACTAACTAACTAAATGAATACATAAATAAAAATTAAAATCTAGATGTATTTAGCTTATGATTTGGAGGTACATGTTCCAGTTCCTGCATCTGATGAAGCTATTCTGGCCACATTGCAACATGGAGGTGGGCATTGTCCATGCGTCTCTGTTTTGACCTTATTCCTTCTCCTTATAAACTTACCAGGAGTCAGTCATGGGGGTTCCACCTCATGGCCTTGATGCTAATCTTCTCCTTAAGTCTACGCTTCAATATCATAGTGAGATTAAGTTTTCACCCTCTTAATCCCATCACGGCTAAATTTCAGCACATGTATTTTGGGGGGATATTCCAACTATAACACTATGTAAACATTGCTATGAGAAAGCATGTTGCACTAAATCATTTTGGTTTGGGGCTGCTCTATTGAGATAGGAGTTTGACCCTACTTACAGGTAGATAGGGTAATGGCCCCAAAAGGAACTTACTGTTTTTCTTTCTAATGAAGTCTCTGTGCTTTTCCTTTGTGGTCTGGCTAATGTATGGCATTTACCCCTTTTCTGTGTCTCTAAAGGATTTATGACTCCATGCCAATAAGCCAGGAGATAGGGATATTGTGCACACTGGCAGGGTAAAGGCCCAAAATGGAGTCACAATGGCTAAATGTTCACAGCCAAAAGCTGGCTGCATTGGGACTCAAAGAAACTGAAGCTAAAGGGCAACAGTTTCTATTTAGTACTATATTCTATTTAGTACTGTATTCTATTCAGCACTGTATTCTATTTAGTACTGTATTCTATTCAGCACTGTATTCTATTTAGTACTGTATTCTAACAAGAAGTACAGAATGCTCTCTATGGTCTGCTGACCACACAAAGAATTGGGTTATAAATCACTCAAGCTACCATGTAACTATTTTCAAAAGTCCATTTCCTTGTTAGAAAACCAGTCCGTTGCTCAGACTGTTAGATAAAGCCTCTCATCTCCAATTCTTTTTAAGCAATCCACTGCATTGGAAGTCCTTCCTCCTTCCCTAATAAACTTTGCTTACTATTCTGTCCATTTGTCTGTATTTCTCATTCTTCATCAGCGTCAGACAAGAACCTGCATGGGTGTTGGATATAATCACCCAGCACTCCTGTGTCACTATTAACCATGATTCTCACTTAATCTCACTCCCATCAAAGAGAAAATAAGGAGACCGACTTATGATCTTCTGTATCCAGAGGCCACAAAGTAAAAATAATTTGAAGGAATGTTTTTGTCTCACAAACTCTGGGCTCTCCATTGCTGAGTCCAGAATCAGCATCTGGACCTTTTCAATACCAGACTCCCAGCAGTTACCATGATTTAGTTAGAACCTGTGTGGTCTCTTCCTGTGCCCATTATCTCTTCTCTCAACTCACTTTTATGTAGATGTGGTTGTAGCCATCTCCTCTGTTCCTTAACGTCTTGCATTAGCTTCATCACTTATCTCTCACTTTCTAACCTAGAGCTTTTCTGTTCCCACCTTGAAAGCATTTGAGAGGCCCCACACTCCTACACATGTGCATCTTAGAGATGCAAGACTATACCATAAGGCCACTTCTGACTGATGGAGGATGGCTCCAGTGGGTAAGTGCCCCTCTCTTCCATCCTGTGGAAGGTCCTCGCCGAGGCTCAGCTGACTTTCTGCTTATCGAAGAGTTCCAGTTGTCCACAGCAGTAACCAAGTCAAGAAGACATTCTTCTACTGGCTTTCCTTCCTTCCACCCTTTCACTGGCTGCTGCCTTCTGCTCATATCTTGGGGTCACTTCCTTAAATGAACTCCCTCCATACAAGCCCTTGGTTTTTGAGGGAAAAAAACAAACCATACTTTAGTGAAACATCAACCAATTAAAAAAATAGATTTTTATTTTGTTATGCCTATTGTATAATCGCTCCCTCAAGAAATTCAGAAAAGATAAACCTATGGCATGACAAATCATCTTTTACATCTTTTCATTTCCTGATATAAAATATTTTCATTTGTCATGTAGATTAACCTAATCTGTAATTAACTGGTTTATGTTTGTATTTTCAAAAATAATCTATAGACGAGTCCAATCCTGTGGCCTACTGGGCAAGGGAGGCAGATCCCACATGGTTGACATAGTTCGAATCTCAGCCCTGGAGGATTGAAACAGAAGTGTATACCTGTGCTTCTGGTGCTACATGGTTTCTGGGCGTCCATGAAAATGGAATTTGGAAGGTCAAAGGAAAACAATTATGATGTACCTTTAGTGGCCATTCATGAAGAGGTCATTGCAAATAGATAACGAATATCTATAATACTCCAAGTCTTATTATGAGACTATTTTCTCTTTCCATTCATCCAGGGAAAAGGAAGTTTCTTTGTCCTTGCTTCATCATTTCACCTTTGTTTACTCTCATGCTCACCATTCATCAGCTGTCTCCATTCATTCTTGCTCCATGACTACTTGGGATAGATTTCAATGTGGTGCTGGATACCACCTGTCTGCCACATCTTTCATCTGGTTTCACCTAGTGGGAAAATACAGGGTAAAAAGAAATAGTTTTTCTTCCAGAGTCATGGAAAAACAACCTTCTATGACCTACAGTTTTTTTTGTTTTTTTTTTCTATTTTTTAAAGGAATATCTAAATGTCTGGAGAGGAGAGCTTGAGGAAAGAATGAACGTCCTCATCTGTTTCTTTTATTCTACTATCTACTGCCTTTTTAATATACTCTTAACAGTTTCAAAGCTAGTGCTTTATAACCTGCTCTCTAATTCTTTTGTAATGTAAACTTTTACATTATCATTACAGAGCAAAAGGGAGAAGCCCTTGGAAGAGTTAGCCTGTGACAATGTGTGATAAGCTAACTTAGTACTCCTAGTGAATGAGTTAGGATGGCACTGTAATCAAGTGGATGCTACCTGGCTCTGTTTTTAGAAAGGCTCTTCAAGAATCAGTGATGATAAGATCAAACCAATGAAAGTAGGCCAGTGTGACCTCTAAACTGAAGTAATGAGTCATTAATGGTCTTAAGAAACAGGAAAATTTTGATAAGATTACTCATCCTTTTAATGTAGAAAGGGGTAGAAGTGATTCTAGAGACTGCTGGAGGAGGGAGGGTGAGAAGGAGAGAATCATGGGAAAGAAGAGGGAAGCCCAACATTTAAGGGACCCAAGGTGGGGAGAAACTTATTGATTATAATGTGTATGGTAGTGGCTTCACCTAAACCAATACGCAGTGTATTCATGACGGGAATATTCATTTGGTATGCTGTAATGATGCACAGTGATTGAATGTAAGAATAGATAAAGAAAGAAATAAGGGGTCAGGTTAATCATGGATCACATCTGTGAAAGTCCTGAGGTCGCTTGTAAGTGAGAAAAATAAAAGTGCTTCCCTAGAAAAGACAACATATATATCAATAGGTGAAGTTTGTAGCAATTTTTCACTGATAAGTAAAATAATTTATATTTACTTTATTCATAGCCTTTAATCTGAATCCCACTATTGGGAATTTTTCTTCAAGGCCATCTAAACATCTTTGTAAATAAAAAGGTATTGCACCATTATTTGTAATAGTAAAAAGTCAGAAATAATGGGAACCAATAGTTAGCGTAATGGCTATGTCGCTGGACTCCCATGTAGTCGACCGCGGTTTGCGTCCTGGACCCGGTGGCTTAAAACTCACACCGGGCGCATGTGCATGCATGCCCAAGATCCCGAGAGGAGAATGGAGGAGAAGGGATTGTGGCATGACCATCCCCCCTGGGGGTGATTTCTCGCTTTCTGTCTCTCTCTGTCTGTCTGGCGAGCGCACGCACCCTATAGCGAAAACCTCTCCCTCCCCCCCAAAAAAAATGTCAGAAATAACCTGAATAACACACCATATGTTTATTGGTTAAATAAATTGTACTTTATCAGTTCAGTGGATTGTTATACAGCCATGAAAATGAAGGTTATGAAGACCATGTAAAAACAACGTGGAAGACATGCATGATATCTTATTAAAAGTCAAGGTTTGCCAACCTCAGCGCTTTTGGCATTTAGGCCAGTTCATTCTTGTCTGGGTTAGCGACTGTCCTATGTTTTGTGGGATGTTTAGCAGCATCATTGATTTTACCCACTAGATATCACCACTACCACTCCAACTGACAACCAAAAATGTCTCCTGTCCTTGCCAAAAGTCCTAGGCTATGAGAGGAGAGTGGGTGGGTGGTGACAAAATGCCACTGACTGAGAATCACTACTAAAAAGGAAAATCAAACTATAAATTTGCTTCACTGTATAGTATTGATTAATAAGGGAAATTAGGTATGTATCCATGCATATAGATCAGAGTAAGACTAAACCCAAGATAAGAACAATGATTTATTAAGGTGGTAGGATTGTAATTCATTCTTATGAATTCTTAGTAAGTAGAAGTTTGTGGACAGAACCAGCAGATGGCTTAGTGGCTACATCACTGATCTCCCACGTAGTCGCTCCCACATAGCAGTTTGAGTTCTGGACCCAGAGACTTAAAACCCACACACAACACATGTGTGTGTGCCCAAGATCCTGAGAAGAGAATGGAGGAGAAGGGATTGTGGCATGGCCATCCCTCCTGGGGGCTGATTTCTGACTTTCTGTCTCAGTCCCTCTTTGTTTCTCCTGTGAGTGCATGCACCCTATAGCAAAAAACTCTCAAAAAAAAATTGTGGGGAAGATACCAAAACTGGAGTAAAAATATTAAAATTGTATTATTTTGAAATTAAAACAAATGGTTTGGCTAAAGGAAACGTCTATGAATGAACTGTTCTCTTATTGCTAATTCTAGGGAAGCCTGTTCATTAGACTTCAGTCACCTAGAATAAATTCTGTGAATCATCTTCTACCAGTTTCTCATTCGTAGAGTTGTGATAACTGAAACATGGTTAGTTTTGTGCCTCTTGTCTTCCTCAGCGGTGGAAGGTCAGTGTATTTATTTGCTAGGACTGCTGTGTGAAAGCCCCATAGTATCCCTGATTTAAATCACAGAAATATATTGTCTCTCAGTTCTAGAGTCTAGAAATCCCAAGTCAAAGTACTGGTAGTCTTTTCTTTCCTCAGCTTATATTAATAGTTGACCACTTTCATGTTTACATGACCCTCTCATATTTTTTGCTACATCTTCACTCACTTTATAAAAAAATAAGAAAACCAGTCATATTGAACTGGACCCACTTAATCGTCTCATTTTAATACCCTATCTCCAAATAAGGTCATACTCTGAGGCCCATGGACGGGACCTCAACAAATTAATCTTGGAGAACACAATTTATCCCATTACTTATTATTAAAATGAACAGGAAGAAACATTTCTGGGACCAGCAGTTAGTGTAAAGGCTATGTTGCTAGACTCCATGTAGTCGACTGTGGTTCGTGTCCCAGACCCGGTGGCTTAAACTCACACTGGGCGCATGTGCATGTGTGCCCAAGATCCCGAGAGGAGAATGGAGGAGAAGGGATTGCGGTGTGGCCATCCCCCCTGGGGGGTGATTTCTCGCTGTCTCTCTGTCTCTCTCTGTCTGTCTGGCAAGCACACATGCCCTATAGCAAAAACCTCTCCAAAAAAAAAGAAAAGAAAAAAGAAAAAAAGAAACATTTCTAGCTGCACACAAAGTCCTGGAAATTCTGATGTAATTTCACATAATTCTCACAAATGGCCAGGTGTTCCTCTTTCTTCCCTCTCTGCCCACTCCCTAAGGGAGTGTCATGTCTTGAGAAACCACTGTTACTGAATAGAATATGTGATAACTTTTGGAGGCTATTGAGAAAAAGTCAGGAACCACAGGTTCTGGGTAATGTTTTACTAACCTAGATAATAAATATTATATGTACTATTCAAGTGATCTTTTTTTTTTTCCTACATATCACTTGCATGTGGATGAAAAAGCTGAAAATAATATTTCTTTCATGGCTAAAGAACAAAGTAGAAAATTTGTATGTAATGGCCAAAGGAAGGATTTATTTCCATAAAATAAAATTTTCTTCGGTTTCAATTTCGTATGAAGAATTCTAAGAGTTCTGAGGTACTCCTCAATGGAGCTTTGCTTATTTGATTTGCAGCAGAGGAACCAGTTGTGAATTCTGGTGTAATTCTGTGTTTGCAACCTAAAAAGATTTAAGGAAAGTGTTTCCAGCTTTAGGTCTGAAGATTTTACCATATTCTAATATTAGACCCAACAGAAGACATTAATTATACTTTCTATAGATTATTTAGACCCAGACTCAAAAGTCGATGTCAAATTTTTCATACAGATTCTTATGCACATATTAAGTGGCTTGGACATGGGTAATAATTTTATTTAGTATTACTGGACCTTTCATAAGTAACTTGGGTATCAGAAAGGTGACTGTGTTCATTTGTTCTTTTTGCCCTATCAGTCAAGCAGAAATCTATACCCAGAATTCAACTCCTTCCTCAATTTCCACAAGAGCTTCAATGACTTGCAAGTATATATTTGAATTTTGTGCACACACTGAAAATCAGGGCTCTTCATGAGCCCAGAGCACAGCATTCTACCATTCTTCAGATCCTTGCTTATTCTTTTTTCTGTTTTTTTCCACCCCGTATCTCACTCGAGCCATACTATCCCCTCTGCAGCAATGTCAATGTTTCTCCTCACTTGATGTGCAACATGAATTACAGCCTATCACATTGCTTCAAGTAAATGCAATGCCTTCACTAAGACCACTCAGAAGACTAAGCTTTTCTCGACTCCATTACATACGGGATTATGGATAACTGAGCTTCTCTAAAAAAGCCCAGTGAAAATCCTCCCGTAAGTGGATTTGGATATAACACGATTGCCAATGACCTCCATTCTCTCTTGAACCCCTTCATTAGGGCAAACTAAAGTTTATTTGCATGAGAGGAAAAGCAGGTAAAGCTTGAAGAGAAATGTCAAATAGCCTCAAATCATTTGGGGGACTAGGAGGAGAAAATGAATCCTTGAATCTCAGTTATTCTCCAGGCTTCATCTGGCTAACTAGTTGGGACAGACCAAACATATATCCAACCTCTGAAGGATTTGGGCTGTGGATGGAATACTTAGACTCTGGAACTTCCTTTACTTCATAAATCATGCAATCAAGTGACTTCATGTTTTACATGACTGAATTTTTAGACATCATTTATCATGTTGTGGTGGGGTTTTTATATGAATACAGAATAATTTTTAAAGCACTTTATCATATGATCTTATTGCATTCTTAAAATAACTTTCCATATAAGGGGCCAGTAGGTGGTATAGTAATTCAGAGCACTGGACTCTCACATGGTGGACTGTGGTTCGAGTCCTGGACCTGGCAGCTTGCTTTCTCACTTTCTCTCTCACTCTTCTCTTTCTATCACTCTCTCTCTTGCTTTGTCCCTTTCCGGATAAATTAAAATAAATAAACAAGTAAATAAATAAATAAAGTAAAATAAAATAATTCTTAAAAAAATAATTTTCCATAGAAGAAGAAGAAGAAAAGAAGAGAAGAAGAAGAAGAGAAGAAGAGAAGAAGAGGAGAAGAAAAGAAGAAGAAGAAGGAGAAGAAGAAAAGGAAGAAAAGGCCCAGCCTCATGACTGAGTATTTAAGGGAGCAAAATCCCACACAACCAACCACATGATTTGAATCCTGGCCCCAGTAGCTTAAAAAAATATTTGTGCACATGTGCATGTGCACCCAAAATCTCAACAGGATGGAGAGATGGAGGAGAAGGGATGGCCATGTGATCATATCCCACTGGAGTGTGCTTTCTTCCTCTCACTCTCTCTGTCTCACTAGCAAGCATAGACACCTGTGGCAAATTAAAAAATAAAAAAGAAAGAAAGTCCGACGGTTTCTAAAGAAAGAAAGAAAGAAAGGGATTTAACAAATTAGCATTGAGAATTGGGACCCCCTACCAGTTTTTCTGATGGCAACTTCACTAAATTTTCCAGGAGATCATGCTTTCTTCCCCAGGAGACCTCATTAAGACTAGGTAACAGGAACTTATTTTTCCTCCATAACACTTACTTGGACTGGTACTGAGTTAATTCTCTCATGTCTCACCTGGCCTGTGTTCACATGTTTTAGAAATCATATGTTCTCATGCCTTCTTATTGGTGGTCCTCCAGTTGCAAGCTGGGCTGACACCTTGCCAAAACAACCTGACAGTTGGTGAATTCAATCAAGCAAGGTGTTGCAGGTAAATAAATATGATGGGCAATTTTATGTCATTCTCATCTGCCCCCCAGTGAAATTTTAATTCCCTGCTGGGATATAGAATTTTGTAGCAATAGCAAAGTTGAAAGTGGGAAAATCTGGTTCTATAGTGGTTCACTGGCCAAGAGGAAGGAGGAGGAGAAAGAGAAGCGTTTCCATTATTGTGCTTACTATATTGCATTCACTGTGCTAAACACATAATATTTTTATCTTAATTAGAAACAACATTATAAATCTGTTTTTGTCTTTTTTAATAAACAGAATTTTGTCTTGATGTCAAAGTAGCTAACTATAGAACTCTAGGGACCAGCAGTTAGTGTAATGGCTATGTCCCTGGACTCCCACATAGTCAACCGCGGTTGGTGCCCCAGACCCGGTGGCTTAAAACTCACGCCAGGCGCGTGTGTGTGCGTGCCCAAGATCCTGAGAGGAGAATGGAGGAGAAGGGATTGCGGCGTGGCCATTTCCCCTGGGGGGTGATTTCTCACTTTCTGTCTCTCTGTCTCTCTCTGTCTGGTGAGCACACGCGCCCTATAGCAAAACACCTCTCCAAAAATTAAACTAAACTAAACTAAAATGAAATCAAATCCAATAAAAAAAACTCTAGGTCTTGGGACCAGCAGGTGGTGTGGTGTTTGGGGCACTGGATACTCCCACATGGCCAGCCACATTTCAAATCCTGGACCTGGTGGTTGTTTTCTCACTTTCCCTCTCTCTCTCTCTTTCTGTCTCTGGTCAAATTAAAATAAAATGAATGAATAAATAAAATTAAAATAGATAATTATTCAAAGAAACTCAGGCCTTAATCTCTATGATAGTTCTAATGTGAATTATTACATCACAATTCTCTCATATTATTGGATATAAGAACAAGAACCACAAGAAATAATCATAATATTTGACTTGGTCTTTTTTTTTTTTTTTAATGAAAAAGATGGGAGGTTACAGGGGGGGGGAGGAGGGGGAAAGTTTTTTTGAGAGAGAGAGATGTATTTTGCCAGGGTCTTACCACAGTGCTGTCCTCCTGACTCAGCCTCCCACTAGGCAGGATCACAGGCAGACACCACCTCGCCCAGTCTGTTTAAGCTGAGCCTCCCATGTGGCCTCAGCCTCACACAGCAGTGCTCTCCAGTTTGCAGCACTCTGGCTGGGCCTTGTATTTGCTGCTTTAATGTATTGTGCAACATTTGCTTTCTCCATTTATTTACTCTGTGGGTATAAGTTAATGATTATTATCTGGACTGTCAAATTTTCAATTGTCTACTTCCCATCAAAAGAAATTATTTCTAGTTCTTACTGGAAAGGTCATGTTTATGGCCAGTGGCAAGTTTTACCAGGCCAGCCCGGGAGCCATTTGCCCATGTTTATGCTAGAGCTTTCTCACTTTGACCTGTCTTTCAGGTTGGATTGGAGCAGTACTATTGGAGCAGTGTCTGCCTTGAAACTCCTGTAGCATCAGTCTTTGATGAAGGTATTTTTACCTTTAATCTCAAAGCTATGTAGTCTTGTGCTATGATCAAAAGGGAGATTTGGAGAGCAAAAAAAGTGTTCATTAAGCAATAGATTGTAAGCTGGCATTTTGATGAGAGACAGCCTGGGTTGATATCTCCCTTCTGTCCTTTATTACCTATGTGACCGAAGATGGTTTACATATAATTTCTCTCATCTTTAAAATTTAGATAAGAATAGTGTCTCTCTCATGGTGTTAGTGTGAGGATTCAGAGACATAAGGCATATAGACATGTTAGTATAGTGTCTGGCACCTAATAAGAGTTGGATATTTAATAAATACTAGTCTTATACATAATGAAAACTTTTCCTTCTTCCATGTCTTAGGTATGTAACTTTGGCCATCACTCAACCTCTCTAATCTCTGTTTCTTCTCTGATCTGTAAAATGAAGGAAATAGACTAGTCTAGATGTCCTATAAAGTCTTGCCCCAGCTCTAACTTTCCATGAATCTAAATCCTTCTATACATTTGTAGCAGAGATAATTTAGCACTCACCAAATAGTCTCCCTGTTCCTCTGCATTTTTCAGCACTGTGATTAGGTTGGAACCTCATAACTAGTTCCGTCAATGGAAATGTGAGTATAAATGTGGGCTACTCTGAGCATGAGGCAGTTATGAACCAGTGCAAATCATTCTTTTATTTTTCTTTCTTCCTCTCTTTAGCTCTCACTCCCTCTTTCTCTCTCATTAGTGAAAATAAAAGCAAAAAACTTTTGAGATAGCATTGTTGCAATGCAGAAGTAGCCTGGATCTCTGAGTTACCATGGGAGAAAAATTGTCCAGCTTGCATTTGATGGTGACAAAGCAGGAAATACTTCTTTATAACATTAAACAAATAAAATACTGAAGGTTGACTGTCAAAGTAGCTAGCAGTTATATACGCTGACTTATGTAAAACTCAAGTTCCTCTATGGCCCATAGTTCAAACTGTTCATTTCATAAAGAATGCTTTCACAGAGGGGAAGGGGAAAGAAAGGGAACGTAATTAAAGATTAACATATGCGGACCAATAGATGGTGTAATGGTTACTTTGCTGGACTCCCACAGAGTCAACTGCAGTTGGAGTCCCTGACCTGGCAGCTTAAAACTCAAGGCATGTGTGCAAGCATGCTCAAAATCCTGAGAGGAGAATGGAGGAGAAGGGATTGGAGCAGGGCCATCTCCTTGGAGTGGGGGTTATTTTTTACTTTCTGTTTCTCTGTCTCTTTGGCGAGCTCACATGCTCCATAGCACAAAATCTCTCTCTCTCAAAAATATTTAAAAATAAATGAAATAAACATAAAGCCTGATAAGAATGCAATAAAAACATGGACAAGGCCAAGAAGACAAATACAGCATTGTTTTATGTGTAGCTCCAGGTTTTTCTGGAATTACTAGATGCTACTTTTTTCCCCATTAGCTTGAATTCAGCTTTATTTCTACTGTACTCTCAGGGTGGCAACCTCTTCAGTCATAAATTCCCCAACCTGTTTTGACAATACCTTACTATTTCTCCTGATAGATCACTGGGCATTGTAAACTTCTTTAAACATGATTAATTTTTTTATAATTACACTCATTTTGAGAAGGAAAACATTTCATATGAGAACTAGAATGGAAAGACACTATATCTGACTCCTTTACCTCACAAAATTGTTGTGAATACCAGAGGATTATAGATAACTAGAGGTTGAAAGCTATGACAAACCGTGGAATAAGGTGGGATACATCAAGTGATGAGGAGATAAGGTATATTGTAGAGATACTAGAATTCATGAGAGAATCTGTATATCTGATATGGGCAGCAACTCAACACTCCGCAAGGGAAGACCCACATGGGAAGGTTGCCACTTCTCAGTCAGACTTCCCTCAATACACGGGCAGGCCAGTGTCCGTGATCTACTTAGCTGAGCCTGGGGGTGGATCTCAGCATTGAAACCCTGTTAGAGATACTGTATCTCTGTTTCTCTCTTTCTCCCACTCACTCACAGAATAAACGAAGTTAATTTTTTTAAGTTACAAAACAATATATCATGAGAAGGAAAAGAAGAACACCTCTGTCAGAAGAATTGAAAAGTAGTGAGGATGGTCTTTCTAAGTAGCTACATGTTCTTACATCTCTGAATAGTTGAGAGAAACTAGAATTCATTGAGAGTTTACAACTATAATTTCTAAACTAAGAAAATAAGGTCAGTAGGCATCTATCCATGTCATGTTATTTATAATGATTGATTTAGATATGAATTTCAAAAATAAGTAAATACCAATGATCCAGTACTACATGTCATTTATGGGGTGAATTCATCCAAACCATTTATGAGTTGGATGGAATGCTGGAACAGACTATTGCAGCATAACAACCACGATGGATGAAACTCTCAGAGGATGACTATTGACCTCATCCAAACAGATCATCTCCTGCTTCCATCAGTTGTTGCCAAGTTTCAGTAAAGCACTAAGAATAAATATAGCACGAGAGCGGAAAGGAGTTTGCTTGCCTTTCTACTTGTGCTTGTTCAAGTGGATGAATGATAGGTCTGTGAGCTAATCCCTACCAACTGCATGGGAGGCCTCAGATCATTGACATCAGTGCTGTGGAAGCTCTAGTCCCTCCAAGATAAAAAAGGAAAGGTAAATAGTGTGACCCAGAAAGGAGGCTTGAGGCAATAAATAAGGTCACTGAGGCAGGAATGAGACTTCACTATATCAACATTCACTATCTAATGATGCTCTGCTTTGACCCCAGGAGAATGAGTTTTCTCAACAGGGAATTCCACGAGAACTTCATGGATGGTAGAAAGAGAGTATTGGATCATATCAAAAGAGTAATGACACTTGTCTTCTGAGTCTTTGAGCTAAGTACATTGTAATTTACAGGAATCTTGCTTCTCCAAAATCTGGAAGTCCGCCCCATAGTTGGTTACTTCATCTCATCTTCAAGTTACATATTGAACATATTAAGGTAGAAAAAAATGGAATTCTTTTTTTTGTTTGTTCGGTTTTAGGTTTTTGCCATAGGGCACAAGTGTTCTCCAGAGAGGAGAGAGGCAGAAAAATACAGAGAGAATGAAAGTGAGAAATCATCCCCCCTGGGGATACCACAATTTCTTCTCCTCCATACTCCTTTTGGGATCTTGGACATGCAAGTCTGGCATGATTTTTAAGCCACTGGGTCCAAGACTGGAACTGCAGTCAACCATGTGGAAACCCAACCACCTTAATCACTATACCACTTGCTGGTCTCCAAAATTCCTTTATAAAATAGTACTCAGTGACTACAGATAAGATGTAACTAACTGCCAAATTGAGTCTACACTATGGATACACTGAATAACATTTTTGCCGGTCATCCAGCGTCTAGCCATCTGTGGAGGAATCACTGTACGTAGATGTAGAGCACTGGAAAAGGGAGTGAGAAGAAGACTGTATAAGATCTGGAGAGTGGGGAACCAGCAGTTAGCGTAATGGCTATGTCGCTGGACTCCCACGTAGTCGACCGCGGTTTGCTTCCCGGACCCAGTGGCTTAAAACTCACGCCGGAAGCGTGTGCGTGCGTGCCCAAGATCCCGAGAGGAGAATGGAGGAGAAGGGATTGCGGCATGGCCATCCCTCCCTGGGGGGTGATTTCTTACTTTCTGTCTCTATGTCTCTCTCTGTCTATCTGGCGAGCACACGCGTACCGTATAGCAAAAATCTCTCCAAAAAAAAAAAAAAAAAAAAAAAAAGAGAGAAAAAAAGAAAGATGTGGAGAGTGGAGGGAAAAGGTAAAGAACCAGGGGAATAAGAAATCCTGGGAGCATGGAAGGTTGTATTGTAATAATTGTTCTCCTGCTGACCTCAAACTTCCTGAGGGGAGGAGGAAGATTTGCTGACAAGCTAGCTATGTCTCTCCCCCCAAAACAAACATGTGCATAAACATACACACATATGAAACATTTGAAATGCATTTTAATCCATCTGTAAAAAGTCCATTGTTTTTATTTGGAGGAATTATTTATTGAATTTAATTTTAATATTTACTTTTTTAAAAAAACAATTGCTATAGGGCATGTATGCTCACCAGAGGGAGACAGAGAGAAAGAGGGAAAGTGAGAAAACTACCTGCCAGGTCCGTGATATGAACTGTGGTCGGACATGTGGGAGGGAGGGGGATCCAGTACCTTAACTACCATGCCACTGCGGGCCCCAAAATCTCTGAAACCAAATCTGTTCACTGTCAGGTTTGTTCATGTTGTTTGATACTCTAAATGTGAAGTATAGGATGGTTGGCTAGGTCTCATTGGTATTCCTACTTTACTCAACATACTGATGGGTTTTTTGCTTACTAGTATTTTTTTAAGAAAATAAATTTTAAAAGTTTATTTATTGGGGCCACCAAATGGTATGGTGATTAAGGTGCTAGATTCCTACATGGTCCCCCTGAGATTCCAGTCCTGGACCTAGAGGCTTGAAAATCACAACAAATAAATAGATAAATAAATAAGTACACTTAAAACATTTATTTATTTATTCCATGAGCAAGAAATACAGAAAGAGACAGACAGACAGACCATGAGAGATACAGTACCCCCAATAAGATCTCAACAGTGCAGTCCACCTCCATGGGTTGATCCATAGCCACATGCATGCACTGTGTTCTCAGGGAGGTCTCTAGATACAAACCAGTG